AAAAAAAAATATTGATAAATGAACTTTAAAGTGATATTCTGCTTAGGGGAAAGTCTTGGTTCCCCAAGGGAAATGTGAGCATTTTCCCCTATTTAATGCTTTTACTTAAGTTGTTTATTTACTTTATATCAAAGATAAGATCTTAGTGTGGAATAAGGGCAAGTATAATATTACTTCTTGACATGCATAGTAATGTGAAATTTATTGTAGATCAAGGAAATGTAAATTAGGAGAGGGGAGGGACTGAAAGCTCCATGGGACAAGAGTTTGATGAATCTTCACATTTATTTGAACTCTTTTAATTCTGCTCACATTTGGGGCGCCTGGGTGGCTCAGTCGTTAAGCGTCTGCCTTCGGCTCAGGTCATGGTCCCGGGGTCCTGGGATCGAGTCCTGCATCGGGCTCCCGGCTCCACGGGAAGCCTGCTTCTCCCTCTCCCACTCCCCCTGCTTCTGTTCCTGCTCTCGCTATCTCTCTCTGTCAAATAAATAAATAAAATCTTTAAAAAAAAATTATTAATTCTCACATTTATATAGCAGGTTATGATGTTATGGGAATTCTGCATTGTTCACTAGGCACATCTCTCTTTCTCTCTTTTGGTTTCCAAAGATGAACCTAAGTCAAGTCTAAATTCTTGGTGAATTGATATATTTCTTCAGGTTTTTCTATTAATAAATACAAATATATAGACAGAATTGTGTGATTTTTTTCACCATGTTTTTATGTTTTTATTTGCCCTACCAATCCCATCTTTACAATAGAGTTTATCACCTGTGTTGTCTTACTTTTATAATAGGGAAATTTTTTATTTAAAAAAAGTGTAGCAGATTCCAAGAGAATGCACAGATTTCCCCCACTGTCTAAAATTAGAGCATTCCTATGGAAGCTTCATTAAGCTGAAACAGCATAAAGCAAAGAAACTATTACCATTTTCATAAAAGCAAAAATCCTCTTTGGATTTTTTTCAGTTAGCAAAAACAGGTACCAGCATAGGTCTTTCGTGAAAGAGAAGTGGTATAAAGCAGACTTTCAGATAGCAGGGATCCTGTAATTCCTGGAAGCCTGAAGTTCTCCGCAAGTATTTCATATTCACATATTTATTTTAGGGCTGAAGATTTAGCCCATTTTAAAAACCACATTAACATATTCACTCATTAGTTGTCAGTTGTTTATTTTTGCAATTTAAAGTAAACTGTCTAAATGAAAAATACTTGACTCTATTTGTCTCTTGCAGGAATTATTACTAATAATAACTATATGAAAAAGAAGAATAGTTGAAGCTTTTTGAGTGTTTATCACATGCTACACTCTATTTTTGTTTTCTGGTTTTGGTTTCACGTGCAATGTGGGGCTTGAACTCACGACCCAAGATCAAGAGTCGCATGCTGTGTGGACTGAGTCAGCCAGTCACCCTTACACACTGTTTTAAGTGCTTACATATAACTCATTTAATCCACACAGCCACTCTTTTAGATAGCTTACTACTTTTATCATCATTTTACAAATAAGAAGCTACATAATTTTTTTTTTTAACATTAGATCATATAAGCTAGTAGGTAGTAGAGGCATGATTCCAAATTTGTAGTCTGGCTTCAGAGTTCAGTCTTAAGCACTGGGGTATCTTATTCATATATCTAAGCAATTTGTCTATATGATCAATTTGTAAATAGAAATTTCTCTAGTCAAGTAGCTATTTTAATACTAAATGCCATTTGTGCAAAAAAAAAAAAAACCCTTGATATTTCACTTTCTTTTTGCTAAGCATGTTGAAGTTAATTTTTTCTGCTTTGATAAAGTACAACTAGAAACCCCTATTAACCTGAGAACCCACATAGTGTTTTTAAAGAAAGAAAATATAAGGAGTATATAAATTTTAATACTTGAACTTAGGAATCAGAATTTCAGCTTCATTTTTATTTGCTCCATTATTTTCTCATATGCCATGAACACTATTGAGCATTTTGAAAAATGCGGTGTCTTTTCTTTTTATTGAAACGATCTCTTAAAGTGTGCACTGTCATCTGTATTTGAAAAATTGGATCTTGGCTCATTGTCATCAAGATATTAGAGAAAATAATATTTCTATTACAGATGAAACTTACTCTCAAATATTGATTGGTTGTGTGTTAAATGTAGCATCATTTGAATAGGGCCACTTACTATAGTGAGTCTAAACAAGCAAAAGTTTAGAATGTAATTGCATTACCAAGGAACTTAACATTCTGATTCAGCATTTCAAGAAATCCTTTGACACCTGTTGCAGTTTTCTGTTGTACTTTTAGGCTGTTTGTTCATCTTTCTTCTTTTGCATCCATAGTTCTCTAAATTATTTTTAAGCCATTTTCTCAATTTTCTCTCTTCTTACAAATTAGCAAATTTAGCTCTTTTGTAACATACCACAGCCCTAAGAAAATCTGGCTTTGGTGTCTGAAATATTTTCCAAGAGATTTCCATTTTGAGCATCTAAGTATTTGATAGCTCTGTGTAAATAATTAGTAGATGTTGTAAGTATGCTGACCTTGAGTAGGAAAAATACAACATTATGGATTGCTGTACTTCTTAGTATGTAATAGCACAGGATGAAGAGTGTGACTTTGGATATGACAATTCTATATTCATAAATGGGCTCTCTACATACTTGATAGGTAACCTTGGGCAAGAGACCATTTAACCTCTCTGAGTATCACCTTCTCAGTAAAATCAGGACAATGTGGTAAAGTATCTGGCTCTACAAATTATAGCTACTTTCCATGACTTTGAGCCCTTTACGCAATTTATAAAAGGAGTTAGCTGCTGTCATATATATTATCCTCTTGGTTTGTATGAAATGCTACAGAATAGCATCTCCTCTGCCTAATTGCTCTCTCCATGCCAGTTAAATCAGCTGTAAAAATCTCCTTGGGCTCTCTGTAAGAAGCAATTGGCTGGGATTAAATAGCTAGTCCATGAGCTAAAGAGAGACCTCTGGTTTGTTTTCTCATATCTGAGGTATCCTTCATTCGCAGTGATTCATCTCACCCATGTGTTGTAAAATCCTCTGGGCCTCTGTCACATCAATCCCAGCTTTAGGTTTGTAAATTGCTAATAGCATGTATTTCTCAGTCAAGAACTTTTATCACTCTGCTAAGCTTGTTTTGAGAAGTATGGTAAGTTTGGGTTGAATTTTATTTCACAGTGAAGTTCATTTGTTGAAAAAAAGATCTTTAAACCCATTTGATATATGAAGATACTTTGTTTTTGTTTTTGTTTTTTTTATTTATTTATTCATGAGAGATAGAGAGGCAGAGGCAGAGGGAGAGGGAGAAGCAGGCTCCCCGCGGAGCAGGGGGCCTGATGCGGGACTCCATCCCAGGACTCTGGGATCATGACCTGAGCTGAAGGCAGACGCTTAACCGACTGAGTCACCCAGGCGTCCCTATGAAGATACTTTGGAGTGGTGTACCCAGCTAAATCAGCTAACCTACACTGCTTAATCAAATGCCATCCTCCATGATGGCTGGCTTTTTATCACTAATGTGAATAGTAATTCATTTAGTGCAACATAACTTTGTAGGAGACCTGTTTCTAAGTAGTCATTCTGAACTCTTTGAGTAGTTACTAATCCTTTAAACTCATCTGAGTTTGGTTGCCTGTATTTTAGTATGGATGGTAAAGCAACAAATTTGTCATGAAGTTTAAAAATATTATATCCACGAGACATCCTAATAGGAAACCTTAATTAAAGAAATGCTTTGACTTCCCATGACAAAAAATGAAATGTTTGCCTTCCCATTTCTGTAAGAAACAGACTATTACTCATGTATTTTCTTTTTATAGTATTATGAAGTTTTTCTACAATTGTGTGTTTCATTTGGGGGAGGTTAGGAATTGAGGTGTTGGGGTTTTTGTTTTACTGTACCTAGCAGATAATATATAAAACATTTCTATGTATTCCTCATTTCCTGTTTATAGGTGTTCAGTGAATTTATTACAGATCTAAATTCGTCCTTATATGTTATAATACTTTGTGATATGTATGTTTGATTTTGGAGTTTTTGTTCATGTAATCAGACGATGTCCATTTTTTTTCTTTTTCTCATCTTCTGATCAGGATTTCTGGCAGGTACTGACTCAGCAGCATGTGCTTTAAATTAATTAATGTTCCAAAATCCATAGTAATGCTTCAGGGACAAAGGTTCAGTGCATGCTCATGTCCTTCCCCCTGCTCCTTTCAGAATGATTCAATTCCTGTCACTTTAAACTAACGTATTTTATCTTTAATATGACAATTCAAACACTGCCCTGGCCCTTGAGAATATAATACCTAGCATGATTTAAAAGGAAGTTTTAACATTATGTGTCACACAAAAGGTCAAGAAAGTGTTACCACTAAGTTGTATAAGGGATACTCAGTCAATTGGGTCATTTAACTAGTCTTAGGATGTCATGTTCCTAGTTAAACTGTTAGCAGGAACAGTGACTGGCAGCAGTAATTTCAAGTGAAAATTGATCTTTTCTTTTGTTTTGAAATTTCTTACATGATAAATACAGATAAGTTTAGTTGCACTTTGTTCAATAAAATGGCTTAACAGGAAAGAAATGGAACATTTAGAAAGACTGCATTAGTTTGCTTTTTTGAGCTAATCAACAAATTTAACTTGGAAAAGCAAGCAAATGCATGAAGAAAATCATGAAAGAGAATATATAGGTTGTAATCTGGCAAAAGAGAAGTACTCTTTAAATAGATCTTTGAAGACTTACACTCTTTAATTATAATTTATAAATTATTAAAATTTATTCATTTTTTAAAAAGACATTACTCTTGTATTGCTTAATAGAAATAGAAACTAAACTAAATTATATCTTTTGTTTTAAAATAATTAATGATATAATTAATGAGATCACAGTGTGCTCTTTACTTTTATATAACATTTTTCCTGTGCTTCCTTTTTTTAAAAAATGGGATATATTTTTAGTAGTCTTCTTACCAAATCCCAAACCAATTATCCTGTTATTGGTACAGTTGGTTATCTTACTTCTGTTTTTAATTGCATTCTGAAACAAACCAACAAATACTTGAATGATTATGTCAAAATAATTTATCGATGATCCCGGTATCAATGTTTCTAAGCCTGGAGATTCTGTTTTAGAATAGCTATGGCACAACTAGTAAGCATAGTGCTAAGGAGAGTATATCAGATAAGGTACTTAATACCTGTGATTGAGGAAAGCTGCTTCTACTTCTGTAATTGTGGCAGGACAATTTGTAGAAGGCATCTAAAAACTCTTTCTTCCCTTTGATAGTTGTATGGTTTAAGGCTTGAAAATTTAAAATGACTTGCCTCAAATAGCTGTCCCTTTTAGAGAATGAGACGAGAAAAGAGGTAGGAATTGGTAAAGTGCTTGGAAGTCTCTGGAATCTGCAGTATTGGGTAATCAGCCACCATAGTTGACGAAAGAGCACTGGTCTTCTTGAAACTTTGACTCTTGAAGGTGATACCCTTTGTTGAGTAAGGATTCAAAATCAAGTTTTACTATATTATTAAGGATATCTTGTGAATAAGCTTTTTGTATTGAAAATAATAAACTTTTTTTTCATAGACTAGATAGTGGGGGATTGTTTATCACTATAAATATCACTCATTTTGGTGACACTAGTATAAATCCTTTAAGGTTCCAAAGGTCAGGGAGCAGTTACTTTATAGAAGAGGGCTTTCTTGCTTGCTTCCTTAACAAGGATTTGTCCTTTGCATGCTAAGTTCCTATTGCCTGTGGAAAGGCTGGAATCATTTTGTTTTTCTGGTAGCATAGAGCTGTTCTTCAGATGCAGCTTATGAATGGTGTGAAATAATTATATTGCTGTGAGGAGTATTCATAATGTCTCTTTCCAGTCTCTGAGTTCCACCACTACTAAAATATGTTGATTTAATTCATGTGTTTGATGATTCAAGCTGAAAAAAGAAATGATAATATAATCATTAAGTGCTCCCAAGGAGGGTGTAGTTTACTTGATTGCCCCAAATATTCAGACATCTATTAATATGTCTTTAAATACATTTTTATTTTAGATTGTTTTGTTTGAACTTGGGGTCAACTACCCATTTGATTTATCATTGTTGATTTGAAAGCATAAACATGACTAAACATTACATTTCTAACACCTTCATGTTTCATTTTTCCATCATGAAACAAGATTTGAAATTCACTTTGACATGGGAGGACTTGGTTCCAGATAACTTCCTTGCACAAATACTCTAACATGTTTTGAGGTTACACAAAGTGAAAGATACTCAAAACATTTTTTTCTCCTGTTCCAGTAAAAATGGGCTCTCAACTTAGCCTAAACATCTATTGATGATCTTTGATTGCAGAGAAAGTGTGAGAATAGCTTTTGCTTTGCATATTTGTCTTTGCCATGATGCATTTTTTTAAGTTCCAAACTTAAATAAAAAGCTTTTCCAATTACAGTTTAGTCTAACATCTATTAATTAAGAGCATGAAGAGCCATTACCTTCTTGAACTGATACTCATTTTCAAAATGATTAAAATATGCATTTGAACAAGTCAAGGCATAAAAATACATTGTACACCTGCATTGTTAACTAGACTTTCCTCTTCAAGATAACTGAGCTGATACAAGCAAAGCCCCAGGATTAATATTTTACAATAGTGAACTCTTGTTTCGCTCTGAAAATATTCAGTCCCCATTAACAATTTCAGAAGTTGCAAGTAATTTCTCTGCATTTGATACAATATAACATATAATGGTTCTGGAGTCAAACCATGACCTGTCCTGCCATTTTATAGCCTTGTCACCTTGCACTACTTATTTAATTTCTCTGAACTTCAGTTTTCTCATCTGTAAAGTGCAAATAGTAGTATTACCTATCTCATAGGATTGCAGTGAGGACTTAAAGAAGTGTATGTAATTCAAGTGCTTAGCACAGGGCCCACAATGAAATATGCAAACTATAATTTTTAAATTCTTTTTTTTTTTTAAGATTTTACTTATTTATTTGACAGAAAGAGACACAGTGAGAGAGGGAACACAAGCAGGGGGCGTGGGAGAGGGAGAAGCAGGCTTCTCATGGAGCAGGGAGCCCGATGTGGGGCTCGATCCCAGGACCCTGGGATCATGACCTTAGCCAAAGGCAGACGCTTAACGACTGAGCCACCCAGGTGGCCCTAATTTTTAAATTCTTAATATACCTTTAATGGTCAGTGGTGTTCAAGGGATACCTTTAAGTGTTAGAGTTCAGGCTGATTTAAAAATTCTTCATCTAGAGGGCTTCCTGGGAGATGGTAGTTATTAGAACAGTGTAGAATGGTTGGTGATCCTCAGAGTGAAACTCTGTTTTTATGATGTGATTTTTTCTTTTTTTTTTTTTTAAGATTTTTTATTTATTTGACAGAGAGAAACACAGCGAGAGAGGGAACACAAGCAGGGGAGAGGGAGAAGCAGGCTTCCTACAGAGCAGGGAGCCCGATGCGGGGCTCGATCCCAGGACCGTGGGATCATGACCTGAGCCGAAGGCAGACGCTTAACGACTGAGCCACCCAGGCGCCCCTGATTTTTTCTTGTAATAATTTTTTCCTTATGGGAGACAGTGAGATGCTATGTTGACTGACTTTTCAAGATTTGTATGTGAGATGGTTTTTCCATGAAGTAATAGGGAAGCCTTTTATAACCCACGTGACTGAAACCAAGACTATTGCTGAACCCATGACACTTCTTTTCAGTACTGATTGAGTGGCCAAAGTTCAAAATTACGTTCTTAGATTTAAATAGCGAATAATCAATAATGGTAAAACATAGATTCTCCCACCCACAGCTGCTTCAAAGCAAGTATGCAGGCATAATGTGGTAGGAAATAATAGAGTTAACAATTTTCCCCTTCTAAGGTTTTGATAATACCTTATCAGATACTGAAGACTGAAATCCCTTCAATAATGTTGTACACTTCCTTAAAGTGAATGTTATTCCAGGAGACTTACAAATTTTTAATCATTGCTTTAATCAAATCTTCTGCCACCCTTTTTTTAAGCATCTTCATTTGTATCCATTTTCTCTATAGCCATCTAGTTAATGAAGTAGGAAAACATTTGCATGATAGGTATTTAGAGTTGTTCTCAGAGCTAAAGTGGTTAGAATTGGGACTGAAAAGAGAATGGCTTTCTGGCCGCGTGAAGTTTACAGGATCTTAAGCATTCACCTTCCACAGTTTGTTGCACAGTCATTTCTGTTTGTCTGCCTCAAATGCTCTGTTACCTTTGAGAAGGTTGCAAACTCTGAGTCAGGAGAAAAAGTCCTAAACTACTCTAAATTAGAAACTTCTTAATTTAATTTTATCTGACATATCCTCAACTCCTACCTTTCTGCAAGTTCAGGTATGGGACCCGGGAGGAAGAATACATATTTTAACTGTGCAACATTTTCTGTTTGATTGGGAATAGTGTGATTGTTTAAGATGGATATCTTAGCAAGGCTTTGGCATCTATGCACCAACTTAATAATGAAGTATGAGCATTAATTGCATGGGAAAATTGCCGAATTTTCTAACACTCTTCCCCTCCCTGCCCCAACCCCAACCCCATGTAGAAATAGGTCAAAATTGCATTTTCTGGAAGAAGCATATTATTATCATTACTTTGTTTTGGAAGTACCTCAAGTATTTTCTTAAGGGATTTAGATAGACTTTGAAATGTATATCAGTCATCTAGGGAAATGTTAATACTAAAACAATCCAATTATCTCAGTTTCATAAAGGATGACATCTTAATTTAAGTAGGAAAACTGTGTTCTTTATCAGATTTTTCTATAAGCCAGAGATGATTTGAGGTTCTAGATGATATATTAGCATCTATTTTGCTGGCATAGTCCTTCAACTACTATTTGGTAGGAAGTTTATTTCGAACTGAAATTGAAATTTCATCAGAATTGAAAAGTGGGTTTTAACTAGAATAAATAATGAGATTAAACTTCTAGATACGATCTTTCTCTTCGGCTTCATCCAGTTGAGTCTTAAAAGGCAAAATTATTGGCCCTATTTTGATCAACCCTGTTAGTTAGGATTCACTGAGCACAGTTGGTATTAATGAACTTGAATCATGATTGGAATTCCC